AGGTCCTGAGCCATCCTCCACTCCTTTCCCAGGCCACAAGCAGTGAGCTGGATGGAAAGTGGCGCAGCTGGGACACAAGCCAGTGACCTCACAGGATTCTGGCACATGCAAGGTGAGAATTCAGCCACTGAACCATTACACTAGGCCCTGTGTCTCGCCTTTCCCACCTCCCCCCTCCCCCAAGTGGGTACTCAGGGATGTAAGGCCTGAAAGGTAGGCTGCAATTGTCTGAGCCTGTACTCCACTTGGAGGAAGATGACCTCCCAGTTCCTGGTGGGTACTGTTTACAAGACCCATGGAGAGGGCCGATACGAGCGTAGACTTACTGGGCAAGAATGAGCCAGTTTTGCAAGCTCTGCTTCTTTATAAGAACAGTAACACAGATGAGTGTAACACCATGAGGAGGATAGGAGAGCTGGCAGTTGTTCTCACTTTCATCACTGCCTTACTCTAAGCCTTGGGCAAGAGAGTGCCCTTCTGTGACTCACTTTACCAAGCCGCAAAAGGAAGAAAGTCTTGTCCCCTTTCTGCTTACTAAGGAGGATGGGTAGCATTTTAAATGCCGCACCTTTAGAGAAATATCAACTGGTCCCCCCTTATTTATTTTACTCTCTGGAACTGCTTCAAAGTTCTGCTGCCTTTTTTTTTTTTTTTTAACTTTCAGGATTCTTCAAGCCTTAGTTAAGTCTTGGTTCTAAATCTCCAGTTCACAGTCACAATTTTTGGTGTGATGGCTCAATAGGCTAATCCTCACCTTGCAAGTGCGGAGATCTCATTTAGGTGCAGGTTTGTGTCCTGGCTGCTCCACTTCCATCCAGCTCTCCACATGCGGCCAGTGAAAGCAGTTGAGGAAGACCCAAAGCCTTGGGATCCTGTACTCACCCAGGGGACCTGGAAGAAGCTCCTGGCTCTGACCCAGCTCCGGCCATTGTGGCCTTTTGGGGAGTGGAATGGCAGATGGAAGATCTTTGTCTCTCCTTCTCTCTGTAAATCTGCCTTTCCTATTTTTTTTTTTTTTGGTCTAAATCTGCCTTTCTAAGATAAGTAAGTCTTTAAAACAAACAAGTCACTATCTTTTTTTTTTTTTTAAAGATTTATTTTTTTATTATTTTTTCATTGGAAAGGCGGATATACAGAGAGGAGAGACAGAGAGGAAGATCTTCCGTCCGATGATTCACTCCCCAAGTGAGCGCAACGGGCCGATACTATGCCGATCCGAAGCCAGGAGCCTCTTCCGGGTCTCCCACGCGGGTGCAGGTTCCCAAAGCTTTGGGCTGTCCTCGACTGCTTTCCCGGGCCACAGGCAGGGAGCCGGAAAGGAAGCGGGGCTGCCGGGATTAGAACCGGCGCCCATATGGGATCCCGGGCGTGCAAGGCGAGGACCTTTAACCACTTGCGCCACCGCGTCGGGCCCAAGTCACTATCTTTTACAGACGGAGAAACTGAAGGCATAAGATTGCTTTGTTCAAAGTGACAAAGTAATTCACCAGTAGAATTCCAGAAAGCTTCTGTGGGCCCAGAGCTAAGTGACATCTGCAGCTGCAGGGAAGGCTTTGTGAGGGCACTAAGGGTTAAACCGTTGACACTGCAGTGGATGCTGGACTGGAAGTGCAATAGCCAGGACCGTAAGTACTGCCCAATGTTGCAGGTGGTGGCTTAGTGTGCCAAGCCACAATGCAGAACCTAACACAATTATATTTAAAGTGACTGTGGCTCAACAGGCTAATCCTCCACCTGCTAGTGAGGCATAACATATGGGCACTAGTTCGTGTCCTGGTTGCTACATTTCCCATCCAGTTCCCTGTTTATGGCCTGGGAAAGTAGCAGAGGATGGCTCCAGGCCTTGGGCCTCTGTATCCAGCCACATGGGAGACTCAGAGGAGGCTCCTGGCCCCTAGCTTCAGAACAGCTCAGCCCTGGGCTGATGTGGTCCTTCGGGGAGTGAACCAGCAGGTGGAATATCTTTCCCCGTCTCTCCTTCTCTCTGCAAATCTTCAACTAAAAAGATAAATAAGACTTGGCCAATCAGATTTAACTCTCAGATATTTTTGTCTGGCTCACACCTAGGCAACCAAAACCATGTGCTAATCTAATGATGAAATGTAAGTCAGCTGCGGGTGGGTGGGGAGTGGGTAGAGACATACAAGAGCTGGAGATGAGACGAGAATAACAGACTGCAGAGAACTGTTAAAACTGGGTGATGAATGCATGGAGGTTCATTATACTATTCTATCTACTTCGTGTATCTTTGAAATATTCCAAAGCAACAGTTTAGTGCTGCAAGTTGCTAACCAACTTTGTACAAAGTCCATATTGTCTTCCTCCCATTACTTGTGATCTTTGAGAACCCATCAGAACTGCAATTGCTGTCCTTTCACTCTGATTGTTTTATGAATACACATGTTGCCAAGGGAAATACATTATAGAGTAAAAAGTTTTAAAAATCTAGACAAACTTTTTCTTGAGAGGTTTTGAAATTATTTGTTTTGGTGATTGTAAATTCAATAAAGTAATTTTTTCAGGGATTAAAAGAACCTCAGAGAACAACCCACTACATCCTAAGCAAGCAGTTAAGCCACAACCAAGTCCCATGTGTGGCCATCCCACTTTTTTGTTGCTGAAACATACAGTATTAGGATGCCTTCATTATAAATTGGCAAACACATCAAACTTTCCTGAACCACAGTTGGCATAGTTAGCTCACAACTCAAAGAGGTTTATCATCATGAAAAGTTTGAAACAAAGAAAAATATTTGGTTGTGTAACATACCCCTTATTAGAAGAGTATGATGGAGACCCTCAGTGTGGCAGAGTGGGTTAAGCAGCATCCTGTCCAGGAGCACAGGTTCAAGTTGAGGCCATGCTGCTTCCAACCCAGCTTCCTGCTAATATGTCTGGGAGGGCAACAGAGGGTGGAGAGTGGCTGGACTCCTGCCACCCCTTCTGGGAGGAGTGGACAGCACTCTGGGCTCCTGGCTTCAGCCAGGCCTAGTCAAGGCCATCCCAGCCACCTGGGAAGTGCACCAGTGGGTGAAAAATTCTGTCTCTTCCTCTATTTGTCACTCTGCCTTTCAAACAAGCAGAACAAATCTTCAAAAAAGAGGAACCAGCATGATAGCACCACGTCCTTTGTTTCGGCCATTTGAGGGGTGACCCAAATCGCCCACACCTTTGCCGATTTTTGTTTTGCTTATCCTAGACATTTTAATAGGTGCATCATCAGTATGTGTTTATTTTTTAACTTGAAAGACAGAATTGCAAAGAAAATGAGAGAGAGAAACCTTCCATCTGCTGGCTCACTCCCCAAATGGTAGCAACAGCTGGAGTCTGGCTGCTTAAAACCTGGGAGCCTGGAGCTTCTTCCTGGTCTCCCACACCGGTGCAGCAGCCTAAGTACTTGGACCAGCCTCCCCTGCTTTCCCAGGCCCTGAGCAGAGGGATGGAACGAAGGTAGAGCAGCTGGGACTTGACCCAATGCCCAGCTGGGATGCCGGTGTTGTTGCCCTGGCGCCAGGCCTTTTCTATGGTTTTGATTTGCATTTTCCTGATGAGCAGTGAGGTTAACTGTCTTCTCATGGACTGATTCACTAACAGAACAGAGTAGTTTATTTTTATTTTTTTCAATATTTATCTTTATTGGAAAGTCAGATATACAGAGAGAAGAGACAGAGAGGAAAATGGCAAGCTTCTCTGAGGCTACATCATTAGAATGCTTTTTCTTCTGAGGTGGGTGGGCATTGTGCTCTGCTGTTAAAGGCACCACCTGCAACACCTTGGGGCTTGAGCCTGGGCTCAACTTCCCAGCCCAACTCCCTTCTAACGGGCACCCTGGGAGGCCACGGGCACTGGGTTATTTGGGTTCCTCCCTCCCATGTGGACTGGATTCCAGTCCTGGGCTTTGGCCTGGTCCAGCCCTGGCTGGTGAGGACATTTGCGGAGGAAAGTAGCAGATGGGAGCTCTCTGTTTCTCTGCCTTTCAGAGAAATAAAAACAGACAATATTAAAATCCTTTTTCTTCCAGGGAAGCTCAGCTGTTTCCTGATAGGTGAAAGTTTTTTTTTTTTTTTTTTTTTTTTTTAAGAAAACTGAGTCTCCTGGATGAGAAATTACATTCATTATTTGTGCGTTTGAAGCAAGAAAAAATAATCAGCTGGCATATTAGTTCCACTTAGGAGAATGGCCCAGCTTTGTGATTTAATCATCAGACATAGTAAGTCTAAGAAGGACCTTAAGAAAAGTAATAACCACAAGTCTCACGTTGAAATTTTTTACACCCCAGTGGAGTCACAGGTGAAGAAGTGCCTGCACACCCACTGTGCGCCTCCCAGTGCAGCAGAGGACATCGGCGTCTTAGTGCACAACCGTCATTTCTCTGCTCCAGAAGCATTCATTTAAGGACCCACGCGAGTTTTGTGTTTTTGTCTTTTTACCTGAAATCTTCTCGTAATCTAGGAGTTGGGTTATTTTTGCTGGCGCTTTAACAGGGACGTCAGGACTTGAGAGCCCTCGGTTCCCCGAGTGTTTTCCACAAACCTCGTTTCTCGGGGGCGTCCGAGCGCGGGCAGCTGCCGCTCCCTGAGGGGACGCGGGGCCATGAGCGCGTGAGGGGCAGGCGGGCAGGCCCTTCCTTGCTCCGACGCTCCTGACGAAAGCTTGCAAACCACCCATGCGTCGACCTCCCGCTTCAGGGAGCCGAGGCTCTGCGGCTGCCGCGGTTTGGGGGACACAGACTCTCGCCCACCCGACAACGCGGCTGAGGACACGGCCGCCCGCCACGCCCCGACCCTCCCGTTTCGCTTTTCTCAGCTTCAGCCGCGTCCACCCGGAGGCCCCGCCCTCTTGCCGCCATCTCATTGGCTCTGGCGGCCAGTCCCCCGAGCGTCGACTCTCTATTGGCTGACTCGGCTGCCACTCGGCCTTCCTCTCAGGGGCGTGCGGCGAGCGTGTCCCCGCCCCTTACGTCCGGACGCTCAGTGGCCTCAGGAGGCTCCATCATCGCCGCCCAGAAGGAAGGAGGTCGGCGGGGCTAGGGGCTGCTATGGTGCTGCGTTACCCGGCGGAGCCGGCCGAGTCGGGGCGGTCGCGGCCATGAAGGTGAGAGGCCCGGGAAGCCGGCACGGGCCGTTGGTCGCCTGTCCTCGTTAGCTGGCGCACCTCAGCGGTCCCCTCGCCACAGCACCCCGGAGACCTCCGCCGAAGCCGGGGAGCCGAGGTGTGGGGGGGCCCCTCAGCGGTTGTCTGGGGTCTCCTGACCGGCGCAGGGAAGGGAACCCGGGGTCCCGGCCCCTCTCGAGCTGCCATCGGCAGGAACGCGGAGCAGCGGGAGGGGGACGAGGCCTGCACCTCCCGCGCGCCTTCGCCTTGGGGGGCCCCACTCTCCGGCCTGGCCCCGCGCACCCCCTCCGGGGCCCGAGGCTGGAGCGCGGGGTGCTGGCCTCGGTCCGGCCTTTGCCCAGGCCGGGCCCTCTCCCGCCCTCGGGAGTCCTTGAACTAGTGTCGGGAGCATCACGGGACCCCAGGGGAAGGAGTGATGCGGGGAGGCGGGCTGACACGAGAAACGGTCGGGATACGAGGTGTGCGTGTGTTTTTTGAGGGGTCTCCACTCAGGAGGGCTCTCTGTGGGCTTGGCATGGGGGGGGGTCGTGACCCAGGACCGCTCGCGACGAATTTGGCAGTTTGCAGGTTTCTCCGCCCCTCGGGTGGGAGTGTTGCTGGTGAGAAGGTCAAGGGAAACGGGGCGATCCCAGCGTCTCCTCTCGGGGTCCCCCGCGGCCAGTGGAGGAGGTATGGCTTCGTTGGAATGAGGGTTGTAGGTGACACCTGCTTTACTCCAGGTGAAGAGGGGTGCCGGGTGTGGGTATGGGAATCAACTGAGCGGGCACCCCGACGGTTCACCGGGGAGAGGGCAAAGGGTGGTGTCAAGTGGCTAGAGAAATTGAGGAAATAACTGGACGTTTCCTGTGTGTCAGACAAGAGGGAGAGCTGGTGAGAGAATTAATTCGGAATGCTCTTCTGTGCTGTGGCACACAGACCTTGCAGGGGACAAGGGAGAATGGTGTTTACGCAAGGAAAAAAAATGCAAAACCAGAGGTACTGACAAGGGTTCCTTTGGCTGCAGGGAGCAAGTAGCTTTTGAAGTGTGCCTTGAAATACGAGAATATTGTAAAAATTTGCTTTTTTTAACTTTACAGTTACATAAGATTTTGTGTTAGAATATTGACTAAAATGTCTGGAAGTAGCTGCTTTCTTTAAAGATGTATTTTATTTGAAAGTTAGAGTTACACAGAGAGGGTAAGAGAGAGAGCCTTCGTCCATTGGTTCATCCATTGGTTTACTTCCACATGGCATGGCCTGGGTCAGGAACTTCTTCCAGGTCTCCCATATGGGTAGCAGGGGCCCAAACACTTGAGTCATGGCTTCTCTGCTTCCCATCCAGCTCCCTGCTTGTGGCCTGGGAGGACGGCCCAAAGCCTTGGGTCCCTGCACCTGCCTGGGCAACCAGGAAGAAGCTCCTGGCTTCCGATCAGCTCGGTTCCAGCCATAACTCAGAGTGCCAGTAGGTTTATTAATACTACGTTAATAGTGTCTTGAAGCTGAAAAGCGAGAGAGGATTAGGGACAGAACCAGGGTTAATTTTTTCTCTCTCTTTTTTTTTTTAATTTTTATTGGAAAGTCAGATATACAGAGAGAAGAGACAGAGAGAGCTTCTGTTTGTTGATCACTCTGCAAATGGTCGCTGCAGCCAGAGCTGAGCTGATCTAAAGCTGGGGAGCAGGGGCCCCAAAGTTTTGGGCCATCCTTGACTGCTTTCCCAGGCCACAAGCAGGGAGCTGGATGGGAAGCAGGGCTGCCGGGATTAGAACCAGCGCCCATATGGGATCCCAGCGCGTTCAAAGTGAGGACTTTAACCACTACACTACCACGCTGGGCCCCCAGAGTTAATTTGTAAATGCTTTAACAATGGACAGAGTTTTGGATTTAAGTGGGAGATACTGCTAAGTTAGAGAAATAAATCCTAGTGGTAGCTGGAAATTGGAGAAGGTAATATAACTTGCAGGATGAAGAGCTGAGTTGCTGTTCAGCAGCTGTGTGAGCAGTGCTTCTTGCTTTAGTACTTCATGGACCGGTGGGCATCAGCAGGCAGTGTGTAGGTTGCTTACCTGTTTCTTTAGGTTGATTTGTGCTGAAATTGTTCAGCTGTGGAGGTGCTTGCCCCGACCTTACTGGGTCCAGATGTTTGGGAAAGCTGACATCTCAGTGTCCTTACAAGCCAGTACTTCTCTGGGTGGAAGGAGGATTTAAAGGCTAAGTAATTACGTAACCGCATCTTCACTCCAGCCTAGGAGCAGCTGACTTGAGGATATGTGTGGAAGGGCTTTTTTTTTTTTAATTGTTTTGTTTGGAGACTGGTGTTTTGAAATAAGATTACCTCTCAAATTCATATAATTGTTTATCCTTGGAGCTGATTAACTCCCTGTAAGGCATTTTTTTTTTTAATTCAAATTGTTGTCCTGTTTGGTTTAATGTTTGGTTTAATTTGGTCTGTCCTGTTTGGTTTAATTTGGTTTAATGCTTCCTGTTCTTCCATATTTATATTGATTTCACCCTTAACTGTGCTAATCACATTTATCTTTCCAACCTCAAAATGAAATAGCAAGGAGACAGTAATTTATTAAATATAATTCCCTTTTCCTTTTTTTTTGTTTTTCCTATAAAAGTTTGAGCAGTGGTGGTAGGAGTCAAATTCATTATGTAAAAGAAAACCAAGAGATAAGGAAAGTGACATTTATGACCTACAACATCCACTGCTGTAAAAATCTATCATTGTGTCCAATATGTAGTTTTAATTTTTTAAAAAAAAATTTATTATTTTACTTGAGTTATAGAGGAAGAGGAATAGACAGATCTTCTATCTGCTGAATTACTCCCCAAATGAGTGCAACAGCCAGAGCTGGGCCAGTCCAGAGCTGGGAGCCAGGACCTTCCTCTGTGTGTCCAGCATGAGTGCAGAGGCCCAAGGGCTCGAGCCTTCCTCTGATGCTTTCCCAGGCTAAAACCACGGACTTAAAGAGGACGATCTTCCATTAGCTGGTTCACTCCCCATGTGCTGAGCAAGGCGAGAGCCAGGAACTGTTTTGGTTTTCTCACACGATGGCTGGGTCCGAACATCTGGACCGTCTCAGGCTGCTTGGTCTAGACCGCTAGTAGGCACCCGGGTTGGCAGTAGAGCAGTCAGGTCTTGAACTGGCGTGCACAGGAGATGCAGGTGTCACAGGCAGTGGCTTTACCTGTGACCCCCCCCCCCATACTACTTTTTAAAAGGCACACATCTATTTTTGCACTTGGTTAATGTCTAAATAGCAATTAGAGAATTTTGGAGGTATTGTTAGATTTGCTGACCACCAGGGAAAGAATAACTCAGCTGAATATATAAAAAGAATTTAGATGGCTTTCATTTCAGAGAACCACAGTCAGGGGCTTCCCTTCCCCACGCAGCAGACAGACGTGAAGGAGTGGGCTGCAGAGGAAGAAGGGCGCGGAAGAGATGGGAAGGGGCCCTTTTAAACTCTGCTTGACACGGAAGCCGAGACGGGGTTGCCTCGGCCCTTATTTGGTGGGGGGATATGGGTTTGTGTCCCTCATTGATGCAACGGTGGCTTCACAGTCTGAGGAGCCTGCCAGAATTCCACCATCCATGCTGGGTTTGGTTGGAGGCAAACTCCGCCCTTCTCCGGTTACCGTGGTACCCCCGTCAGGTCTAATTTCTTCCTTTGTCACGCCAGCCCTCCCTTTATTCTTAAAGATTTATTTATTTTTATTGAAAGGCAGATATACAGAGAAAAGGAGGTACAGGGAGAAAGATCTACTGTCCACTGGTTCTCTCCCCAAGTAGCCGCAGTGACTGAAGCTGAGCTGATCCGAAGCCAGGAGCTTCCTCCAGGTCTCCCACGCGGTGCAGGGTCCCAAGGCTTTGGGCCATCCTCGACTGCTTTCCCAGGCCACAAGCAGGGAGCTGGATGGGAAGTGGAGCAGCCAGGATTAGAATTGGTGCCCAAATGGGATCCCAGCACGTTCAAGGTAGACTACCATGCTGGGCCCTCTCCAGGCGCTTCTTAAACCAGGCGCTTGAAAGCCAGTTACATTCCTGTTGGTCCTCTGAATTGAGCACTTTGAAGTATTTTCACTACCCCTCCTCCTTGCTTGGCTCTTCTCCCAGCCTCAACACCTAACTGAGTCTAAGAGTGCATGAGATCATACACGCCCAGACACTGAGCCGCGAGGCAGTGCTGGAACGTGGACACGGTCACGGAGCGTGCTGAGCCCTGTGCTGCCACATCCCCGTTACAGTCCTGGTTACTCCACTTGTCATCCAGCTGCCTTCTTTCTGTATGGGAAAGCAGCAGAAAATATCTCTGGTGCTTAGGCCCCTGCACCCTGCACATGACAGACCCAGAAGCAGCTCCTGGCTTTGGGTGGGTCCAGCTCTGGCCTTTCTGGCCATTTATGGAAGGAAGATATGTTTTTCCTTTTCTAACTCTGCCTTTCAAAATAAAAAAATCTTAAAAAAAAATAAAGAAAGAAAATTGGCATTTTACAAGAAAAAGGACTGGGCTGCTATTCTTGCCAAGAAACGGATACAGTTCCTGCTTTTGACGTAAGTGGCGTGGCCCGAGCAGGTGGCCGGTCCTGCTGGAAGCTCGCTTCCCTCTCTGGCAAGTGATTGAGGTTTGTGGCCAGCATTTCCCCACCCGCCTCTGCAGAGGGCAGGCAATTCATTCTTAGGGCACAGTGCAGGGGAGCCAGAGGGAAAAAAGAACTTGGTGGTGGTGGTTTTTGTGAGGGAGCTGCACATGTCAGGCTCGGTACTTTCTGGAACCTTCTCAGTCCTTCTCTAGGTGGGGAGAGCATTCTGGTCTCCCCTCCACCAAACCGCCCCTCAGCAGCTGTGTTGGGGAGTGGTGATGCATTAAGATCAAGCTAGTTGGCTGCAGAGCTACAGGTCTGAAGTCTGTTCTCTAATCGGTGTTAAATGAAAAAGCAGACATTAAAATGTTCTTTGACGTGCAGTACACCTCATTGGAACCGAGGCAGACTATTAACTCTGGGAACTTAATGCAGGTTGCGAAGCCAAAGGCTCTAAGTACGCTTGCTGGAAACTGGCTTTGCTGGAGAACCAGGAAATACAGCGACTGGGGAACTACACTGCAGTCATGACTACCAAAATGGAAAAGTACCTACTTTTTAAAACACATTGCTTGAAAGCACTGGGTAGAGAATCTTCCATCCACTGGCTACTGGCTTGCGTCCCAAATGGCCAAGATAGCCCAGGCTGGACTGGCCTGAAGCAGGACTGAGGAGCCTCTTCCGGGTCCCCAGTGGTGCAGGGCAGAGCAGCCACAGCTCCACATGGGTGCTCTTCTGGGATGCCAGCGCTGCAGACAGCAGCTTTACCTGCTACTCCACGGCGCCAGCCCCAAATCACTTTTTTAAAAGCCAAAACCAACCCCTTCACCATTCCAGACAAAAATATGATTCTGTGACACAATATTTGGTGTTAATTCAGCCCTACATTTTTGTGGTTAACCAAAGACAGCAGCAGAATGAAGACTCTGGGAAAAAAAAAAAGAAAGAAAGAAAGAAAAAACTAGGTTGCAGCCTCATTAGGATCTGTGAATTTAATTTGGACACCGTCTTCCAGAAGAGAACTCGCCCACTGAGGAAGTTCTCTTCCAGGGTGACGTTACTCTGAGCAGCATTTGGAACACTAACCCTAACACTTCAGAACTCGGGGACAGGGAAGCCCCAGAAATCAGCCTAATGTATGTTATCTTTTCTCAACAAGATGTTGTAAGTATTTCCTGTGCCAGACATTTGAAAATAAAAGTCACTTTTTTTCCAGTTAGTTCGAAACTACCAGCTCCTGGCTTCGGATTGCCTCAGCTCTGGCCGTTGAGGCAGTTTGGGGAGTGAACAAACAGATGGAAGATCTTTGTCTCCTCTTTGTCTCTCTCTACCTCTGTTTCTCCAATAAAAAGTCATTTTAAAAAATTGCTTCGGTATCTGAAGAAACATTGGTTGTGTATTCTCATTTAAGAAATGCTTGAGTGGGCCTGGTGCTATAGCCTAGTGGCTAAAGTCCTTGCCTTGCACACACCAGAATCCCGTATGGGCACCAGTTCTAAACCTGGCGTCCCCACTTCCCATGCAGCTGCCTGCCTGTGGCCTGGGAAAGCAGTCAAGGATGGCCCAAAGCCTTGGGCCACTGAACCCGCATGGGAGACCTGGAAAAAGCTCCTGGCTCCCGACTGGCTCAGCTTCAACCGCTGTGGCCACTTGGGGAGTGAATCAGCAGATGGAAGATCTCTCTGTTTGCTTTGTAAATGTTTTTCCCATGAAAAAAAAAAAATGACTTCAAAACATAACTTTTATTTAAAAGGGGGCAGCATTGTGGCATACTGGGTTAAGCCCGTGTCTGCAGTGCTCACATGCTACACGAGCATCAGTTTAAGACCTTGCTGCCCAATTTGTAATCCAGTCCTCTCTGCTGCCCCTGTGAAAGTTCCAGAAGATGGCCCAAGTACTTGGACTTTTGGCTTTGGTTGGGCACAGACCCGGCCGTTGCAGCCATCTGGGGAATGAACCTGTGGATATGAGATGTGCATGTGTGTCAAAGAAATCTTAAGGAGAAATAGAAGAGCTCCCACCTTCTGGTTCATTCCGCGGTTGTTCACAACAGCTAGATCTAGGCCCAAGCCAGGAAGCCCGAGTTCAGTTAGATCTTTCTGTGGGGGCAGGGACCCAGCTCCCCGAGCCCTCCCATCTCCCCAGCGTGTGCAGTAGCGGGAAGCTTGTGTTGTATGTGAGCACCCCGCAGGGTGTGACCTGCTGCGCCCAGCGCCTGCGCTGCGCTCTCCAAACCGACACTTGTATTGTTTTTGCAGGCGGGGGCCACGTCCATGTGGGCTTCGTGCTGTGGGTTGCTGAATGAAGTCATGGGGACTGGAGCCGTGAGGGGCCAGCAGTCGGGATTCGCAGGGGGCACCGGGCCATTTCGATTTGCAACAAACCCTGATTTTTCCGCCTACCCACCAGCAGCCACAGAAGGACCGACTATAGTTTGCAAAGCCTGTGGACTTTCATTTTCAGTATTTAGAAAGAAGGTGAGTTTGATGAAATGTTGTACATAAAGGCATGGATCAGAACCCTTGTTGGAGGGTTATTTTGAAGAATTGATGGATTTTCAGTTTGTATTAAAAACCCGAAGTTCAGGACCTGGTGCGGTAGCCTACTGGCTAAAATCCTGGCCTTGCATGCCTCAGGATCCCATATGGGTGCCCATTTGTGTCCTGGTGGCCCCACTTCCCATCCAGCTCCCTGCTTGTGACCTGGGAAAGCAGCCAAGGACGGCCCAAGGCCTTGGGACCTTGCACCCACTTGGGAGACCCGGAAGCAGCTCCTGGCTTTGGATTGGCTTGGCTTGACTGGGGCCTGTGCAGTCACTTGGGGTGTGAATCAGCAGGCAGAGGATCTTCCTCTGTCTCTCCTACTCTCTATGTATCTGACTTTCCAATAAAAATAAATCTTTAAAAAAATAATTCCAAGTTCAGTCTCATTAAATATTTTTCCTTTGTAAAAGTACTGAGAGGATTCCGCCCGTGTGTTCAGAGTGGACATGGCTGGTCCTCACGGTGCACAGGTGCTGCCTCCTCCTGAACCCTGGCTGGTCAGTACCTTTTATCTCTTCCTGATAAAATTTGTGTTTTTAAACAAGATTTATTCAAGTTTTATTCAGAGATGATTACTGAGTATTATATGATCTCAAGTTTCAAAATAAAAATCATCTCTGTCCATGTTCTTAACTCTCCAATGAAAAGCTGAGTATGATAACTACAGCTCAGACATTCAACATGACAGTTTTCACTGGACAGAAAGTCATTCGGAGAACCACTATCTTGTCATCTTCCATAGTCACTTCAGTCTTTTAAATACTTAAGGGAGAGAATGCTACCTTGTGGTTAAAGTGCAACAAGTGACCGCGTTGTGTCCGCGTGGTTGTGACCAGGTCCTGCATTCCTGGGGTCATCCAACTGCTAAGTGCCGTTGAGCCCTGCGACCTCTCTGTCCCTGTCAGGCTGTTCTCTTCCTCTCTACATGGGGAAGTTGTTCACATAGGAAGAGAACGAGAGCTTGTGGTTGAGGCTGCTCCATGTGGTCCGTGTCAGCTCTGCTCTGCTAATTGCATGTTTGTGCCAAGGGGTGGGAAGGCTTTAATTCATTCCCGCAGTGTGTGTGTGTTTTTCCGGAAGCACTGTATTTCCACTTGTGTGACTCCACACTGCCTTGGGGTGGATGCTTGGCTCTCCATGGCTTCTGGGACGCCGAGATGCCCACGCGTGCACTTGGGTGCCCTAGAGCTTCACGGAGAAACAGCATTTAAATTCTGACAGAAGACAAAGGAAAATGATTGTTTCCAGCAGGGCTCATATCTTACTCTCATTGAGTGCTCTTTTCTTCCAGCACGTGTGCTGTGACTGCAAGAAAGACTTTTGCTCCGTTTGTTCAGTCCTGCAAGAGAACCTGCGTCGATGCTCTACTTGTCACTTACTGCAGGAGACGGCCTTCCAGCGCCCTCAGTTGATGCGCCTGAAGGTGAAGGACCTGCGGCAGTACCTCACGCTCAGGAACATTCCGACAGACACTTGTCGCGAGAAAGAAGACCTGGTGGATCTGGTTCTGTGCCATCAGGGACTGAGCTCCGACAACCACCTGGACACAGGCAGTCTGGACTCGACACGGTCCCAGGCGTCTAGCTTTTTTACACACTCATTTTTTTCAAACTCTACACCCCCCTCTGCTACTGTGTCTTCGTTTCAGGGAGAGCTCATGGACGGAGATGGGGCCTCCAGGTCTGAGACGCTGGCACAGGTATGAGGGTGATTAATCACCGAGGGCCTGGCACACTTTCTCGTGGCCATATATGGGGGCACTTTAGCACTGATGACTTCAGTTAAGTGAGTGATTCTCACTTCCAGCTCAACTTGGCCCTGGCAGACTGTCCCGGGCTACGATCTCAGGGCTTCTGTGCCAGGGAACCTGAGTCCACTGAAGGGTCCAGAAATACTTCATCACTCTCTTAACCTCAGTTGAAATGATGACTCTGAAAAAGTAGCATCTCCACGTTGGTGGGACTGCTTGGACAATGTCAGTGACCAGGAAAGAGTAGGTGGCTGGGCTCCCACAGCCTGTATCAGGACCTCGGTCTGGGTCCTGTCTCCCCTCCAGTCCAGCGGGGAGGCAGCAGGTGGTGGTTCGAGGGCTGGCGTTTCTGTCACCAGCATGTAGGAGGCGAACCAACAGATAGGTAGGTGTCCTTCCTCTCCTCCTGTCATGTTGTCTTTCCAGTGCATTCAACAACTCCTAGAATGTTCTTGTCACATATCAGAACGCCAGTTTGAGTCTGGCCACTCTGCCTCCTACCCAGCTCCCTGCTGTTGCATCTGGGGAAAGAGTGGAAAACGGCTGGAATACCCAGGCCTCTGCTCCCCACAAGGGAGACCCAGATGGGATTCCTGGCTCCAGCCTTTAGGCTGCTCCATCCCTGTCTGTCGTGAACATCTGAGAGTGACAAATCAGTGGGGTGAGTTAACCTAGCACATCGTTCCTTACTACTTATAACTGCCATATTTCAGGGCCACCATTATGATGCAACAGATTAAGCTAGTTCCTGCCCAAAAGCTCCTCATAGTGTCCCTGGCAAACCAGTGAAAGGTGGCCTGAGAGCTTGGGCCCCAACACCCACAGGGGTGCAGCAGCCCACACACTTGCTGCATCATTTCTTGCCTTCCAGGTGTGTGAGCAAGAGCCAGGCCTGGAAGGAGAGTTGCTTGAACTCTGAGTGGTACTCCAGTGTGAGATGCCTGCGCTGCACATGGTGGCTTCACCTGTGCCATAGTGCTGGTTCTTGACTTGTACAGTGGGTGCCTGCCAAGGAGTGGGCTGAGCTATTTGATACTGGGGACTGACCCAGGCTGTCGTTGGGTTATGAACAAAATACAGTCAAAAGAGGTGAAAAAGCTGCAAACTGAAGCTGAGGAATTTTTGAAACTATAGCTAGCTTGAAACATCAGGTGAGGCAGCCTAGAAAGCAGGATTGTCTGAAGCCGGGCACCCCGGGCACCTGGGCAGGTTGTAGCCCTGCATCCATGAGGCCTCAGTGACCTGGATGTCACTGGATGAAGAGTAATACTCTGGTTCTATTTTTACAAATTCTTGCATTCAGGAATTTGTCATGAGATAACTTTATGGGAACTAAAATAACGTTAAGACTTATTTTTATTGGAAAATCAGATATACAAAGAGGAGAGACAGAGAGGAAGATCTTTTGTCCAATGATTCACTCCCCAAGTGGCCGCAACAGCTGGAGCCGAGCCAATCTGAAATCAGCAGCCAGGAGCTTCTTCTGGGTCTCCCATGTGGGTGCAGGGTCCCAAGGCTTTGGGCCATCCTCAACTGCTTTCCCAGGCTCAAGCAGGGAGCTGGATGGGAAGTGGGGCCACCAGGATTAGATCCCATATGGATCTCGGTGTGTTCAAGGTGAGGACTTTAGCCACTAGGTCACCACGCTGAAACCAATAAAAAAATTCTTAATTTTTTTAAATTGGAAAGTCAGATATACACAGAGGAAGATCTTCTGTCTGCTGATTCACCCTCTAAGGGGCTGCAACGGCCAGAGCTGAGCTGATCTGAAGCCAGGAGCCTCTTCCAGGTCTCCCGTGCACATGCAGGGTCCCAAGGCTTTGGGCTGTCTTTGCTTTCCCAGGCTAGAAACAGGGAGCTGAATGGGAAGTGGGGCTGTTGGGACATGAACCAGCACCCATATGGGATCCTGGCGCGTGCGAGGTGAGGACTTTAGCCGCTATGCTATTGTGTCGGGCCCGAGTGTGAATTTTTTATGCAGTCACGTAGGGCCTAGCTGTTCGGGACAGTTGGCTGTGGCATCCAAAGAAGCTGTGGCATGTCCCGAGCCTGGGCCATGTCCTGGTGAGGTTTTCATTTAAGGCTTGCCTCTACTGATAAACATGGCTTGCTACTGAGGACCAAGAGGATGCATTGTGTGTGTGCAGGTACAAAGTGAAACGGCTTCAGCCAACACAGAAGATGATGACGAAGACGAAGACGATGACGAGGACGAGGATGACGACGATGATGATGAAGAAAACTTGGAGGAGCAGGTGAGACCTTCTGTGAAACTGGCTTGCTCTGACTTGTCAATCTGGCAGGAAGGGAAGATTGCCTTGTGAGCTTGCTCTTGATTCAAAAACAAAAATCCTTCCCGTTTGAATGCAGGCTAGTCCCTTGGAACCCTTCCGGGCGAGTGGGGCCGAGGGGCTGTGTGCACCGGTGGGAGCAGAGGTAACGGTTGTTCTTGTGATTGCAGACCCCTGCGCTTTGTAAGAAGAGAGTCAGGGCCTCGCTGTCGGACCTGTCCAGCCTCGAGGAGGTGGAAGGGATGAGTGTGCGCCAGCTCAAGGAAATCCTGGCTCGGAACTTTGTCAACTATTCCGGCTGCTGTGAGAAATGGGAGCTGGTAGAGAAAGTAAACCGCTTATACAAAGAGAACGAAGAAAACCAAAAGTCATGTAAGTTCTTTTTTTCCACGATTTCTCCCCGTTTTTGCCCCTTGTAGTGTGCTTCCTTAGGCTTCCACAAAGCGTACCATTTTGTCTCCAAATTTATTAAAATTTGCTTGAGGGGCAGGGAAAGATCTGCTGGTTCACTTCCCAGATGCCTGCAACAGCTGGGGTTGAGCCAGACCAAAGCCAGACACTTAATCCTCGTCTCCCACGGTCTGCTCTAATACTGGACCCAGGTCCTCCAGTGTGGGCCTTGGGCACCACGACAGAGGGAGAGTGAGCGTGTGAAAGCCAGACAAGGACCTAGAGGGCTTCATCTGCTGGCATGCTCTCCAGGGTGCTGGGTAAGGGTGAAGCTGGGGTCTTCCAACTCCATCTGGGTCTCCTACATGCATAGCAGGGCCCAAGCACTGTGCTGCCATCTGCTGTCTCGGCTCTAACAGCACTCCAGCAGAGGGTTAATACACTGCACCGCTGGGCTGAGAGCGTGTCTCTTAGGCTTCTGATCATGTATGGTTGAGTTAGGACCCTTCTCAGCTGTTCACCGTGTGATGTTTGCTCTGAGACCGCCGAGGGCAGGTGAATTAATGATTTGTTCAGTTTGATTTTTCTTATTGTATTTGTCGGAACCCTAATGAAACTCATCTGAAAAGGGCTTGTTTCTAAGTAACTCCTCTGACGGACAGTTACTTGGTTATCTGCAGGGTGGCTTCTGAACCCTAACAGTGGGGAAGGTTGCCAACAGCCCGTTAAGTAGTTCTTAGCGTCAAGTATTCTAGGTTTTTGTGAATCTAATTTTTTTGAAGAGGAGAGACAGAAAGATCTTCTGTTTGCTGGTTCACTCCTCAAGTGGCTGCAATGGCTAGAGCTGAGCTGATCCAAAGCCTGGAGCCAGGAGCTTCTTCAGGGTCTCACACGCAGGTGTAGGGTTCCAGGGATTTGGGCCATCCTCGAATGCTTTCCCAGGCCACAAGCAGGGAGCTGGATGGGAAATGAACAGCCAGAATATGAACCAGCACCCGTATGGGATCCTGGCAGATGCAAGGTGAGGACTTTAGCCACTAGGCTACTGTGCTGGGACCGTGAGCCTACTTCTTAAACAACTTCTTTATTGGTAAGCTGTGGTACAGAAATACTCTCGTAGCTATTAACAGCGCAAAACCCTAGTGTTTATGGGCAAAACAAAATTCATTAGCTTCCAGACTGGTGACATGCTCTTGTCTAAACTTGTCTAAGCAGTCTTTTATCATTAACTTTTATTATCTTGAATTTTTTCTTGCTTTGTAAAGGTTATTTTAAAGGTGAGGAAATGACAGGGACATGTGGGCCACATCCAGGGAGCATGAGTAAGGGGGAAAGATGGCAGAGAGAAGTTTGTACTTTCATCTTGGATCTTGGGGAAGAGAGTGCCTCTCCACTGCCTGGCCAAGTTTTTCTTTGGAAGCTGGATTTAGGGGTTCTTGGGTTGCTTGTATGTCCAGTGGCAATGGACCACATGCCCACAGATAGCTTTTAGATGGCTGGTGTGCGCCCCAGCTACTCTGAGCTTCCTGCTGATGGATCCCAGGGGGCAGCAGGTAGTGGCTTGTGTCCCCCCTGCAGCCCTTGGGGGATGCCTGATGTTGACTCCAGGCTCCTGGCCCACCCCTGTCTATGCCAGGCTTTGGGGAATGAGCCAGCAGATGCAAGAGCTGTTTGTCTCCCTTTCCCTGTTGCTCTGCCTTGCAAATACATGAAAAATAAATACAAAGCCATTAAGCGTTTTGGTTATCGGGCCCAGTGTGGTACCTAGTGGCTAGAGTTCTCGCCTTGCACTTACTGCTGCCCATGTGGGAGACCCAGATAGAAATCTTGGCTCATGGTTTTGGCCTGGCCCAGCTTCAGTCTGTTGCAAGCATTGAGGAAGGTGAACCAGTGGATGCAAGAAATCTAAAAATAAAGTTAGCTAGGCTCTTGCACCTCTCCCTCTGTACAGGGAGAATTGTGCCAATCCACACAACTCCCTAATTTATTTAGAAAGAAGAGCTTGGACCTACGCCTGCCCCGCCTTCACCTTAAGCCGCTTCTAGCACAGCTCCACAGGTCCTTCCCTGCTGGCGCCTTGGATCCTTTCCCTGGGTCGCACTGGAGTCATGAGCCTGGCACTGCCGGACTCTTACCAGATGGCTGGTGGGGAAGTTCTCCTTGAATCTGGAGCGTGCTGGTCCCTCCAAGTGGAATCCACTCCTTGCTCCTCAGCAATCCCCACGGGCCTGTAGAAACGTAAGCTTCACAGGCCATAGCTCTGGTCAGATCTTGGCCCAAGATGAACTTTCAACTCATTTTTTGCCATTGTTGCTCAGAGCGGGATCTCCTTAGAACCTAAATCTGGGCTCCAGGACGGGGAAGGCAGTCCTTGCAGGAGACAGACTCCAGCTGGGCTGGGCAACAGGGACATGGATGAGATGTTATAGGGCTGGGGTGCATGTCAGGCACTGCAGTTACCCCAGACTGTGACCCGCCAGGTCACCGCTGAAGTTCTCCTGATCACAGACAGCTCATATACAAAATCCAAAGCAAGTGGCAGCATTTGTTGGGTGTTCCTTACCTGGCCAGCTCTAGGCTAAGGACTTACTGGGTAGTTTGGGGCCTGTAGCAGGTCTGGGGCAGCGGCTGGGCCGATGGGTCTGCAGCCCCAGCTCGTGGTTGCCTTCCAGATGGCGAGCGGCTGCAGCTGCAGGATGAAGAAGACGACAGCTTGTGCCGGATCTGCATGGACGCCGTCATCGACTGCGTGCTGCTGGAGTGCGGGCACATGGTCACGTGCACCAAGTGCGGCAAGCGCATGAGCGAGTGTCCCATCTGCCGACAGTATGTGGTGCGAGCTGTACACGTGTTCAAGTCCTGAGGTGGGGGCTCTCCCTGGAAGAGCTGCCCCTCCTACTGGACCCCCAGCACTCCAGTGCGCAGAGGGTATTGGGAGCTTCCTGTTCAAAGGCTGAAGCTGTTTCTGAATTGGTAGGAGAAACGCTCACCCTAGGTTGTGGACACTGGTCAGCGCCGTGAGCTTCCTGGGGTCTGCCCGCTTGTCAGGCATCCCCAGGACTTGATGGGGCGTAGCATCGGCCACTGCTCTCGCTGGAGGATACCCTGTTCTTGTTAGACTGAAACCACTTGGATGTTTGGAACTCTGTGCCGATGGAATGAGGTCACTGTCCACAAGTGGCCAGCACGGAACATGCCCGAGTGGCGGCCACCGTGCTCGCGGATTGAGTCATGTGTATTTAAGAAGCTGTATTTGATGAATGTAAGTTTCCACATTGTTGCTATTTCTGCAGTTAAACATAATTGGGAACAACTGACATTCTGTAGTCAGCTGCCAGGGCCTTAGACTAAACATGTCCATTTTTGTTCAGGTACAGCTTTTATAGCCAGGGCTGCGTCCAGCTTCTTCCATTAGAAGTGTGTGTGTGCTAAATTCTTTATTAACGTGTAAGCAATTTACACTGTTTTGTATGGTGAAGGTGTATTTTAAGTGCTACCTGCTAGCTAATTTCAACTTTAGAAATAAAATTAGATTAAAACTGTTCTTTGTTGTCTTGGTTCCTGAATGGATCAGATGAGTGGAAGGTTTCCGCTGTCTCGTCCAGCACCACGACGTAACGATGCGGGGGGAGCACTGTGATGTCACGTTTAAGCCTAAGGGGGGCTGCGTGCAGTAGGCTGTCTGCTTTGCCCAGACGCCGTCCTGGAAGCAGCAGCCTGGGCCAGATACAGGCAGCCATGTCAGAGTCTGAACCTTACCCATGTGGCAAAGTTTCCTTTAGAAGCCCCTCAATGTGCAAAACTGGAGGCCTCAGCTCTCAGCTTGTGTGCTTTCAACAGGAGACCAGCTGGGGACTGAGGCCACGCTGCTTGCAGGCAGCGATGCTCATCAGGGTCTCACAGCAGCGACTCTGCAGTAAGGCAAGCGCATCCCCAGGTGCTCAGGATCAGCCTGTCCAATCATGGGCCTCGGGACAGCCTGGAGTGCCAGGAGCTCAGGGCTGCTCGCTGGCCGTGCTGCTGGAAGGGTCAGCCTGTGAGCTGGCACCTCAGGGTCCCGGCTGCTGACTGCCCTGCATCCAGGGCCGGATGCCCATGGCCTCAGCCGAGCATCTCTCCCCGCCTGCACAGCTCATGACGCCAGAAACTCAACACTTCCTCCCAGCCTGCTAACTTCGTAGTGGGAAGTCTTTAGATTCAGGGCAGCAGGTGACAGTAAGCAAACCTAGAGAGAAGCCAAGGAACTGCTGCTAATTTCTCTAAATCAGGAAACTCAGTTTTAATTTTATATGGCCTCAGCTTGGAACAGTTTGGTTTGCTGAAAAGCACAGTTGGGCTCAAGGTAGCTCCAGGGCAGAGAAGACTGGGGAGCAGTGTGAGGTAAGCTGCATTCCGTTAAGCCAAGCACAGTCTGACTCAGGGGTTGCTCCGTTACATTCTGGGGTGCTGTGGGCTCAGATGTCTACTCCGACTCAGAAGTGAATAAATATGAAGGAAACAATATGGAGATAACAGTCTTACCCACTTTCCTATAGCCCACTTTCCTATAGCCCTTGAACCTTTTTACACTAATTAACTATGTAAAGACTGTGAAAAATATAATTTAAAAAATGTAAAAAAAAAGTGAATAAATAGCACGGGTACGGGGGAGAAGGCGAAGACCAAAGCAGCTGTCGGCAGGGATGGCTGTCCCACGGGCCCAGTGAGCTACAGTCATCTCACTGGTGTCTGCCTGCCACGTGGGGAAGCGTGCCTTGCAGGATCAGGCCTTCTCACACTTCCACCAGCTCGCAGTCATGCACAGCCGAGTGAGGCCCCCACCTCAACCGCCGGCCGCACCATGAACCCATCCCCCACTCCTGCGGTGCAGTCCTTTCTTCCTGTGGCTGTGTTAGCTGCATCCCACCCACCCCGTGCTTTCCTGGAACAAAGACCCTCACACTCTGCTTTTGTACAATTGTTTATACAAATTCAACAAAGGTAAAACCGCGCCTGGGAAGGTCTAGGAAACACCACCGTACAACAATGGCACTTATGAGAGCAGAACCTTACGACTAGGGGTGGCCATGGTACAAACCTACACGAGGACCCACCCCCGACTTGTGGGGGGCAGTCTGGGGAGGCGACGTGGGAGCTCAACGTCTGTACTCACCGGCGGGGCACACCCTCCCGCGGGCACAAGGGCACGTGCCCTCCGAGTTCCACAGAGAAAACTCGGCTCAGTGTCCGCCCCTGACTATAACTGACATGAATCCACAACATGCTCAGGTGACAACGTACGAAGGAGGCTCTCCGCTTCCAGCTCCACATGCTTTGACCTGGAAGGTCTCGGCCCACTGTCAGATCTGGGCACGTTGGCGGGCGGGTGGTTGTGTTGATAAAGTACAGGTCAAGCTCTACCTTAAGGACACTGGGAAAACTGCTCATCTCCAAACAATAAAAACACTGTTGTGCATTCAAACCTTGCATAAATAACTTTTAAACAATTTGTACAAAAATAGTTCTGCATAATGTCCGATGTAAGAAAATCAAAACAAAATGTGTCGAGACGCGGCTGTGGTCCAGTGGAGGCTGCCCCCGGGGACCTCGGGGTGCTGCGCTCAGGCTCACCAGAGTTGCCCCCATGTCCTTGGGCTCCGCCTGAGAGCCTGGAGCAGTGTCTGTCCACTCACCCCCTCAGGCCAGCGACGGCTCCTCCCTTGGCAAGACTTGCAAACGGGATCAATCAGTGGTTCCAAGTCCCAAATGGAAAATAAAAGCCCTCACGGGTGTAAAGCCTCTCCCCTCCCCCACTGCACCCCATCCCCCTCCCACCCCGTATTTACATACTTGTCCTCGGACTAACTCAGTTTCTGGAGGAGCTTTTCTTCCACTTGCCCAAACTGGACACTCACAGACATCTCGGCTATGAACTGCTCACAGCCCTCCTTGGTGACTTGCTTGCAGTACCTCAGGTCAATGTGGCAGATGTTCCCACAGCGCTTGAAGAAGGACAGGCACTGGTCAGTGACCTTATTGCAGTCTGCGGGGAGAGGATACCGTGTGAGCGGCCAGGGCGGCCACTTGCTAGGGACAGCACAGAGCTGTACTCTGCTCCATCCCACACTGGCCTGAGGAAAACAGCTTTGGCTTACGATGGGGAGTGGTTTCCTCCACCAGTTACAAAGGGTGATACTTGCTGAACAGTGTTCTGACTGTGCCCAGGGATGGTCACTTCCGGTGGCTTTTACGAGCCAGGGTGGGCTGGCGTGCAGAGGATCACAGAGCGTGCAGCAGCTGCTTTCTCCATCTGCAGGTGGCTGTTCACTTCCTTGCCAATGCCCTGCGGGTAGCTGCCGAGGGTGGGGTTACCCGCCAGGTCATTTAGAGCTGCTGAGCCTGTGTGCTGGCTGCACCCGACCTGAGGCTTATGTACGCAAGATGCCAATAAAGCTAGAAGGGGCTGGAGCCGTGTTCTGTCCACACAGCAAGAAATGGGGCTCGGATCCTTCCGGCCCTCACTTGCACACACTCCTCCACTATATCGCTACCCATTATTTCCTTTTCACACTGAATCCACAGGCACTGGGCTTCAAATGCAGACTGATGCCCTCTGGCTGGACAAATGACCCCTCCCTGGCCGAGTCCACCGACTGAGACGAGTGACCCCTGCCTTTGGATCTCTGCTGATCATCACTAGCGCCAGCACCAATTATTCTGTTAAACTGAGCGAGCACGGACACAGGGCAAGCTTATGCTACGGAATGCCCCTCCTCCACGTCTCTGCAGGCCAGGGGCAGTGGTGACCGACACCAGCGACCACGTGACTCCCCATCTTACACAGCCTCGTGGCCAGATCCAGGAATGAGAATTCTGCCCTAGTCCATACAGGCAGCAGAAACTCATGACCTCGGGCATCCGTGACCTCCCACTCGGGGATTGAACCAATAGACAGATCTTTGTTTCTCCTCTCCTCTGCAAATCTGCCTTTCCAATAAAAATAAACCTTAAAAACAACTAAGATTGTTATGGAAGAAGCCCTGAACACTTCACCAAAAATACCTAAACCAAAAGCAAAAATGAAGAAAAATGTATCAAGTTGGTTTAACTGACACATTCAGCAAAGCTGTGAGATCCAACCTCAGCACAAAAATGAGTGGCAGTTCTAAGTGCTGGCAATGAACAACATGAAAGAAAAACTAAGAAACACTAACAATAACATCAGAGTGCTTAGGAGCAGGAGCACATTTAACCAAGGAAGTGAAAGACTTGTGCACCAATCTGGTAAAATGCCACTTTAAAAAAATCAAAGGAAGACATCCTGTTTGTGTTGTTAATACTGCCCGTTCCAAAATCCTTACACCGCTTCCCAGAAACCAGGCAGGAAACGAGCAGACCCCCAACTGCCTCGTCCTCAAAAACAAACAGGGAAAACCCCACAGCTGCAGATGGCACAGCTTCCCACGAGGGTACAGGACTCTGCAGCACTGGCTTAAGGACAGGTCGGAAGGCTTCAGCCAAGGACCCAGCCCCATTCAACGAGGAAGCAGTGTCCTGTCCACAACCAGTGCCAGGGAAACTGGACAGCCACACGCCAAAGAATGACACCGGAACCCCCGATCATATTCCATGCTAACTCAAAAGAATTCCAAGGCCTAAACAAAAGTTACCATCAGTAACAGGATGGCAGGTCCTCAAAAATTAAACAATTACTATATGACCTAGCAAGTCTAAGGAATGCTGAGCGACCTTTCAGTTAAAAAGAGCGAGAGAGAGCGAGACTGTCCATCTGCTGCTTGGCACAAGCGGGCTGGGTTACAGGCTGGCACCTGAGACTCCGAGCGTCAGGAACTCAAGTACTCTGCCCTCTTCAGTGTACCAGCGAAGAGCCGGGTCAGAAGTGGAGACAATGGGGGCCAGCATTGTGTCATGGCACATAGAAGCCACTGCCCGGGGCAACCCACACCCCTAGCTACTCTCCACTTGTGACCAGCTTCCTTGTTAGGAAAAGCAGCTGCAGGCATGTGAGTGGAACGGTGGATAACCGAGATCCGACGATCCTGGATCCACACACACAACACCAGAAATGCAACAAATTCCTGCATGAGTTGCTTCACTGGAGGAAAACTTCTAGGAAACAGACCAGACACCTAAGTGGGGAAAAAAAAGGGAAGAAAGGAAGAAAGAGCACGCCAGGTGAGCTGAGGACGAGAAACCCTGACAGGAAGGTGAATAAAGACCCCAGGATTGTTCCCAGCACGGAAGCCGTTCAGGCTCAGCCAACAGGCGGCCCCACGGCTCCGAGACCAGACAGACCCCAGGCAGCCGGCAGTGGCTCCGTTGCCTGCAGCTTCCCCAGCCAGGAGGCAGCCCAGCGCACAGAGCTGCTGGTGCACACGGGGCAGTTAGGAAGAGCAGCGAGTCTGGGGGTTGACTAGGGGGGAAACAAAGTTCAATTCTGGTATATAATTTACTCAATGATATTGTCCAGCTAAAAACCAAAAACAAGCTAGGGGCATTGTGGTATAATGCGCTAAGCTGCCACTTGGGACACACCACTCGTGACACTCACGTCACACATTGCAGGGCCAGGTTTTTTTTTTTTTTTTCTTAAATAGATTTTATTTTATTTTAGAGGTAGAGCAAGGGGGGGAGGCGGGGGGGGGCAGGGAGAAGAGTCGGAAAATCCATCTTCACTCGTCACTCCTTCACTCCTCAGCCAGAGCTGGGTCAGACTGAAGCAGCCTGGGGCTGCATCTAGATCTCTCGCATAGGCAATCAGTGAGCCATCCTGGGCCAGATTTTGATCACAGCTCCCTGCTTATGCACCTGAAGGCAGTGGGTGATGGCCCGAGTCCTCAGCTCCCTGCCTCCTGGCTACCCCGGATGTTCTGGGCATCTGGGGAAAAACCAGTGGATGAAAGATGTATTTTTCCTATCTTCCATACCCTCCCTCACTCCCGTGCTTTCCAAACAAACACAAAAGAAAAAACAGGGCTAGTGCTTAGCACAGTGGACTAAGTGGCCAGCTGCAACACACACCAGTTCACGTCCCGGCGGCTCAGCTTCCAAGTGGTTGACAGCGGGTACCCGGGGCTCTGCACCCATGTAGGAAAACCAAATGGAGTCCTGGCCCTGTCCTTCCATTGAAGCATTCGGGGTGTGAACCAGCAGGTTGAAGACACTTCTTTCTGTATCTTCCTCTAATTCTGCCTTTTAAGCAAAAAATTTCTTAAAGATTTATCTTTATTGGAAAGTCAGATTTACAGAGAGAGATACAGAGAGAAAAGATGTATCCTCTGGTTCATTCCCCAAGTGGCTGCAATGGCCGGAGCTGAGCCAATCTGAAGCCAGGAGCCAGGAACTTCTGTGTCTCCCACGTGGGTGCAGGGTCCCAAGGCTTTGGGCCGTCCTCCACTGCCTTCCCAGGCCACAAGCAGGGAGCTGGATGGGAAGTGGGGCTGCCGGGACACAAGCCAGTGCCCATATATAATCCCAGCACATACAAGGTGAGCTACTTTAGCTACTAGGCTGCTATGCTGGGCCCAAACAGACAAGTTAAAAAAAAAAGTCAAAACAAAAGAAATGTTCACAAATGGTTTGGCTCTGCAATGACCAGTACTGAACATAAAGTATATACTTAACAGAAATGACATAATAAAATAACAAAACTTGGAATAAAATGCAAGAGATGTAAACAATGGCCACACAGAGTAAGTATATGGAAAAAAGCATATTTTAGAACGCTATTCATGGGTTTCCAGAATGTTTTACCAAATAAACTTAAAAAAGACTGATTAAGGGCCCGGCGCGGTGGCGCAAGTGGTTAAAGGTCCTCGCCTTGCACGCCCGGGATCCCATATGGGCGCCGGTTCTAATCCCGGCAGCCCCGCTTCCCTTCCAGCTCCCTGCCTGTGGCCTGGGAAAGCAGTCGAGGACGGCCCAAGGCTTTGGGAACCTGCACCCGCGTGGGAGACCCGGAAGAGGCTCCTGGCTTCGGATCGGCATAGTATCGGCCCGTTGCGCTCACTTGGGGAGTGAATCATCGGACGGAAGATCTTCCTCTCTGTCTCTCCTCTGTGTATATCCGCCTTTCCAATGAAAAAATAATAAAAATAAATCTTAAAAAAAAAAAAAAAAAGACTGATTAATAGGGGCCCGGTTTGTATCCTAGCTGCTCTACCTCTCGTCCAGCTCCCAGCCTGTGGCCAGGGAGAGTGGTCAAGGTCAACTCTGGCCATGGCGGCCGCTTGGACTATCTTCATTTGATCTTAGCCAAAAGGCTGAGAAGTGACTGGGGGCTCTGTCTTTTCTTTTCACTGTATAAAAACTTACCTTTCAAATAAATAAATAAGAGACTGATTCACTTAGAAGGGGGATTTAGCAGAAATCTCCCCTCTGCTGGCTCCCTCTGCAACGCCTGCAGGATGGCGCGGGCCAGCAGACTGCTGACCTCACCTTCCTGCGAAGGAGCCCCACGAGGCCTCACAGGTGACTTGGGAAGATGGGGTGAACAAGTTCAGCTCTGGTTGGGATGGTGGGACCTCAGGTCTCCCCCGATGCCCTACACAGAGCTGCTCTTCAGTTCTGGTTTACAAGACCAGGGTAACTAGCTATACTGCAAGTAGTTTCTCATTGGTCAGGCTACAAACTGGTATTAGGACGAAAATTACTAGGAAAGATAGCTGACCAATAATGATACAAGGGACATCTTTTCTAAGGCTAATGATGTTTTTTAGTATATGTAGGGGGTATGTTGGCCATAATCATAGGTTCAAACTTAAACACTCAAGGGCTCAGGAGCTCAAGGCGCAGCCTTGGGTGGGGATGAGAAAGAAATAGCTGTCACCAAGCTGTGACGGAGCTGTGATGAAGCAGCTCCACCTGATTGGGCAGGTGGTGGGAGAAAGGGGGAATTCCTGAAACATGCCAGCTGTCAACGAGTGTACTCAACTAGCTGCACCAACGTGAGGGGCACAGTCCACGGAGGAGGCGTGCCAGGAAGCAATCGCAGACCACAGACGTGTTGCCTGTGAACACCCAGCACAGGATGCAGAGAGCACACAGCCAAGGAGCCTCATGAATCAAATGCAAGCACTGGACCACCGCACCTGGCCTTCGTGCGGGTGCGGGATACCCCCGTGCGGACTGTCCCTGAGCTATCTGACCGCAACACTCCTGCAGTGGGAGGGGCAGCTGCTGCACACTCTGCTGTGCAGTCCAGCCCCAAGTCCTTAAGAGCTGAGCCCCCACTCGTCAGCAAGTGACAACGGAACTAACGGCCTGGGGTGATTCTTTCTCTGACAACAGGCTCTTTGACAGTAAACTCATGAGGGGGACATGTAAGTGACCACAGAAGTCCTGAGCCGCTTCCACAAGGGCTGAGCCCCTGCCTGCCATGGGCACCCTGGCTGCTGTGCACTGGCCCCCTCACCGCCCTCTGGGGTCATAAACCACTACCATGGGCTCCACGGTTTTCTAGTAGCCATTATTACCATTCTGCTAATGGCTCATTTAAGGTGTGTCCCCTGTAGGCAGTGTGGTTTCTCCGCTGCTACATCCCAGCACCCAGTGTTCTGACTGGGCGCACAGGGCAGCCTGTGGAGGCCCCTTTACCTGACAGGTTGATCTCGGTTAAGGAGTCTCGGGTGGTGGTGCCGACAGCAGTCAGCAGGTTGATGGACTGGTCGGTGACGTGGTTACAGTAGCTGAGGTGTAGCTTGGAGAGCAGGGGCATGTGGCGGATGATGAGCCGCAAAGAGGCGTCCGTGATGTCCAGGCCCGCCAGGCGCAGCTCCACGATGTTCCGGAGCTTGCTCCGATTGTCCATTTGACCTGGGAGGAGGTAGCAAACCATCAGCCTGACCGGGGGAGTGGGGTTCTGAAAGGCACCCCAACTTCTGAAAGCCCTTTCCCTCAAATCATACTATAAACATTACAAGATTTGGGCCTGGTGGAGTAGCCTAGTGGCTAGAAGCCCTCGCCTTGAACACCCATGATCCCATATGGTGTCAGTTTGTATCCTGGCGGCTCCACTTCCCATCCAGCTCCCTGCCTGTGGCCTGGGAAGGCAGCCGAGCACGGCCCAAAGCCTTGGGACCCTGCATCCACATGGGAGACCTGGAAGAAGCTCCAACTTCCTGGCTTTGGATCAGATTGGCTCAGCTCCGGCCATTATGACCACTTGGGGAGTGAACCAACAGATGGAAGATCCTTTCCTCAGTAAATTGACTTTCCAATGAAAATACATAAATCCTTAAAAATAAAAAAAAACCTCTAAAATTCCACACTAAAATCAGGATTCCTGGGTTGATTGAAACCTCACATGCTACCCTGCAGCGTGTGGCCAGGGAAGCGTGGAGCTGGCCAGCAGCCCTGCCCCCTAGTTCTTGTCTCACACGGGCCCTGCCTGCGAGCCCTCTCCAGCCACAGGGTGCCGCCCAGTCCTCCTCCTCCCTGCACCCGATCACCCAAAGGAAATGACAGGTTGGGCAGAATGGAGGCTCCGTGTTTGCAGAGACCTGTCTCTCCCCAGACCCTCCCCGACCCTTCCCCTGAGCGTGCTGACCACAAGCAACTGGGGGTCACATGCAGACTGCGGTCTGTGATTCCATCCAGATTGGACACCTGAGCTCAGTGACCCCTCCCCAACATGACAGTCCCCGGCACAGCCCCAACAGGTGACTTACCTGGCCTGTTATCCGTGGGTGGGGACAGGAGATCACGCATTTGGGCGTCCTTCAGTCCTTCTACCCACTGGACATCCAGGGTCCGGAGCAGTGGACAACTGGAACTACAGAGGGCTGAGACTGCAATCCATGAGCAGCCCGACAGCACCAAGTCTCGGAGACCTGGGAGACAGAATGGGGGCGTGGGTCAGGGGGCTGGCCCCACTGCTTAGACTCACACTCAGAGAGGGAGCCTTGTTCTGGGGCTCACCAGGCAACCGGTTGATGAGCCAGCTTAGCTGCTTCTTGGAGATGTTGGTCCAGCTGAGGTCGAGGGAGACGGGCTGCCGCCGGATGATGCCACTCAACATGAGTGGCGTGATGGACTTGCAGTGGTTCAGGTCAATGCGGGTCCACAACCGCTTATCGCAGCACCTGGGGCAGGTGGGGGGATGGTCAGGGGCAGAATCCCCCAATAGCTCTGACTCCTCCGCCCACCACCCTCCAGGGAAACCCCTTAACCTGCCCTACTACTGGTTGGCATCTCTGCTTCCAGCGGCCCATGCGGGCATCCACTCCCCATTGTCTACCCTCTGCCCACTAGTGGCCACACCGCCACATGACACCTCAGGTCCACAAGCTCACCAGGCCCTAGGGCTGGGACTGTGATGCCAGGACTTGCGCCATCCTGTCTTGTCTCTCAGGCTGAGGGCTTTACAAGGATTATCAGGGTGGAGGTGGGGCACAGCAACTCAAGTTGGCGGCCACTGAATCCCCACTGGAGTGCCGGGGTTTGAGACCCAGCCTCACTTCTGATTCTGGCTTCCCACTGCCATGGGAGGCAGCAGGTTCCTGCCACCCCCAGGGACACCTGGATGAAGTTCCAGGCTTCTGTCTGGCTTTGGCCTGGACTCCACTTGCAGTGAACTGGCAAACAAGGCGTTCTGCTTCTCCCTCACTTCACCTTACAGGGAGTCAAACCAGGAGAGCAAACACGACATTGCACCTTGGTCAAAGCCAGACGGGCAGACCGCCATCACCTCCTGGAATCTTTTGTGGAGGATAATTAAGTTTTGCTGGGACTTAGAAGGAATAATCCATACACCCAACTCGAGGGGCAACCCTGGCAGCCCCTTACCAGCGGTTCCAGGTCCTGCAGACCCGCATGCAAATACACAGGTCCTGGTGGCTGAGGTAGCTGAAGACGGCCATCCACACCTCCCTGTGCATGACGTGAGCCGCCCCGTCGTCCAGGGGCAGAGAGTCGGGCGGGGGGCTGATGGGGGGCGGCCGGATCACGTGGCGCTCCATCTGGACACACTTGGGCGGGGACACGGAGGGCGGGGGCCGGGAGATGACGCGGGGTGGGCTGCGCAGGCCGGAGCCCGGCGGGTGCCGCAGCTCACGGGGGGTGCCGTTGAGCCCCTTGCTGAAGCGGTGGGGGCGCTCGCAGAGGCTTGGGGGCCGCTTGGGCTCCTCCTGCTCGCTCTCGGGCTCCGACTTGATGGGCTGGTGGTTCTCATGGGCCAGGCTGCTCTCCGTCTTCTGGATCTCATGGTTCAGCTCCTTGCTCAGCTCCTTGCTCAGTTCCTTGTTGGGGAGACGCCGTTTCCGACGTATCTTGACCTTCTTCTTCTCCTCGGGGCCCTCGGCGCCCTCGGTGCTGGGCCCGGCCGTGGGCGAGCTGGAGCGCGAGTGGTCACTCTCTCGGCTCTTGGGGGGTGCCTCGGGCAGGTCATCCTCAGGTTCCTGCTTGAAGCGCCGCAGGGGCTTGCTGACCAGCGCCATCCGGTCCTCGGTGTTCTTCCAGGACCTCCGCTGCCGCAGGGAAAGAGGGGGTGCAGGTCAGTCCCGTGGGTGCTCACAGGGAGGCCCACCCCAAACCCCCAACACTGCCCAGGACTGTAGCTCAGCAGTGGGCCTGGGGCTCGAACGGGGGGAAGGGAGAAAGGAAAGAGGTGCATGGTACCTTTTTCCTGAAAAGCTTATCTTCTTTGCCAGGCTTGAGCTGTGACAGGAAATAAAGGGTATGGAGCTTGCTCCCAGGGATTGGAGAACTTGAGGTCCCCTCTCCTTCCAACCCCACGACAACAAGACTAGGGCAGGAGCTGACGGGATGCCTTCCCCACAAACGCCCTCTCCCTTGTGGCTGACTCCACAGACGATCCCTGCCTGGTGTTCCAGGAGGAAGCAGAGGATGGCAGCGTTGTCACTCCCGAGTGACACCCCTCCCCCAAACCCCTGCCCAGCCGCCCCTTCACAGGCTCCGGGAGCCTGGGTTAGAGCTTCGGGAAAACTCCAGGCGCCACCTTGCGGCAGGTGACAGCAAAGCCAGTCAGCGGAGCAGCGCCACGGGGCTCCCCCCAGGTTGTCCTCCCTCGGCTTCTAAGAGAGTTTCAGCTCGGGTCTGGCAGTTTCAGCCAGAGTACTGCCCAAGCCGGAGATCTGGGACTGAAGCCAGGGCAGCCACGGGGAACAGGTGCCCCGAGTCTGTGGCAACTGGCTGTAGGTGGGGCGGGGTGGGGTGAGGCCAGGTCTTGGGCCTGGGAGGGCGGGGCGTGGGAGCACCTGCTGCTGGAAGTAAGTGAGGCTGGATCTCCACCAAGGGCTGAGGCTGCTGCCTAGAGGGGGCCTCGGCGAGAGGTGAGAGGAGGAACCCGGGGACGTCTGAAGCGTCGAGGCCTAAACGGGGTGGGGAGAGGAGTGACTCACTGATTTGTCCCTCCCTGCTTTTGGGTCAGGCTCAGGACTTAGCCAGACCTGCTGCCCATCCCCCCTCCACCCCACCGCGGGCCCTTCCGTACTCGCTTTCGACCACTCAGCTCCTGAGGCTTCTCGTATTTCCGCTTCCTTCTCAGGTGCACATCTTCTGACTTTCGGCGCAGGATGCCGTCTGGGGGCGCCTTCTTGGGGTGCTCGTCCGACCTGCGCCTGGGCGCCTCCTCACATTCACTCCTCCGCTTGGCAGGCTCCTGCCCTTCCTTGTTGTCGCGGTTCATCTTCTGCTCCTTGAGCAGGGAGCCAGGTAGGTTGGAGGCGTACTTAAAGCCAGGGCCACGTTTTTGCTTGTTAGCCAAAAAGGGGGAAAGGAACAAAGCAACTGTATATCCTTGGACTGGCCCCTCCCGCCTGCAGATCCGTGGCAGATCCGCGGGGCAGGCTGAGGCTGCTGAGGCCAGGCCCACCCCTCTCCCACTGCCGACCCAGGGCCTGGAGGTCCAGCACTCACTTTCCCAGTCTTGCCGGCGTGGTTACACTTGGGACACTCCCAGCAGTTGGGAAGCTCGTCGTTGACCACACCCTCTGACTCCTTGATCTGGAAAGGACACATGGGGACGGGCTTGAGGAGGGCCAGCCCTGTGTGGAACACCTGTGTCCCCACCCTCACTTGCCCCAAAGCAAGCAGCTACTCCAGGGGACGGGTCTGGGGATGACGCTGCTGCCTGCTGGCTGAGGGGGTCCCAGGAGCTGATGTCCTTGTGCCTCCCACACAGGTCAGGATTCCATCTCATGGTGGGCTCGCGGAGTGCAAGGGCTTAGCAGCCCAGGCCTGGCACATGGAGGACACACCACTTGGGAGCCAGGTGTGAGCGAGTCACCCAAGGCCAGCCCCGCCTTCATGAGACAGTGAGCAGGGGAGGAGTTGTACACCGGCAGCTCCGGGAGGGGCGGGGTGACAGGGAAGGCAGTCCTGGCGGTGTGTCTGCATGCCTGATGTGACAGGGAAGCCAGGGCCAGTGCAAACGCCCCTGGGCATTGCTGAGGGCCAGTGCAGCTGCCTCCCGGACAGGCCCTAGGGGTCTCTGTGAACCACACACAGCACAACATTCTCTCAGGGTAGGAGGTGTGAGCTAGCCAAGTGTCCCCTTCCTCTCACTGGGGAACCAACAGCCCAGGACGGGCAAGCCCAGCACATACCCGGGAGGAGGCGGCCCTGCCCTGGACACAGAAACACAGGAGGCAACCACTTTCGGGCCCCCAGGAATATACCCACTCCACGCCGCACCACCACCAGGGCCCAGTGCCATTCCATCGAACCGCACAGCCAGGGCCCTGGTCCCCCGCTCACCTTAAGGCATCCAGGGTGGATGATCTCGTTGCAAATGGAGCATTCCATAAGCATGAGGTTAAACTTGCCTTCTTCTTCCTCCACCGTATCTTCCTTTCCTGCCTCGCCACACACGAGGCACACGGCAGTGTGGGGCAGCACTGGCTGGAAGACAGGGAAAACAGGACCAGTCAGCGGGGAATGGGGTCAAGGGTAGGAAGCCTGGGCCTGCTGGGAGATCTCAGAAGACAGCCCAGGCACTTCTGTTTGCTTAGCTACTGCCTCCACGTGCAGGGCACAAATATTCTAAACACCAGGAATGGAATTCTGAGCCCAGTGAGGTGGGAAGGCTAGAGTCAGCGAGTAGGGCTGTTAAATGTTGGGGGCATTACACCTGGGGTTGGGGGCCTTATACCTGGAAAAGAACTGAAGGAAGTGGACCACAGCCACACAGGGTTAAGGCTGTGCCACAAAAGTCTGGGGACTCCAAGGTCCCCAAGATTCTGTCAGGGAGGTCTGTAAAGTCAACACTGTCCTCAGGGCCTACACCACAACATAACACACTACCTGCAATGTTGGCATACCACAGGGACAAGGGTTTGAGTCCCCGCAGCTCCATTTCTGATCCAGGTCCCTGCTAATGTGCTTGGGAGAAGCAGCAGAGGATGGCTCAAGCATCTGGGCCCCTGCACCACGTGAGAAAACCGGAGGGAGCTCCCGGGTTCACCCAGCCTAACTACCGCTGGCTGTTGCAGTCCTCCCGGGAGTGGACGAGCACATGGAAGATCGCTGTCACCTCTGACTTTCAAAGCAGACAAATCTTCCAAAAATGCAAAGTACAAAAAACTGTCTTCAGGAGTGTCCGACTCATGGCTGCGCTAGAAGGCAGGAAACCACTGGCTCCTCAGCACCTGCCACGGCTGGGCCTCCACGGCCCTGGGGCTAGTGGTGGCCATGGAGGCATTACAAAGCTCCCCAGTCTCTTGTAAGAAGGTCCTGATGAAGCCGTGAAGTGATGAGTTTAGGAAAAATTCAACCCCTGTGCACATGTGCTTGCCAGACAGGAAGCAGCAGGAGGCCTGGGCCTGCACGCCCAGCAGGTGGTGTAGGAACACCCAGCCCTGGCAGGACCAGACTGCCTGCTAAGCAGGATACCTACACCACTGTGTGACACCATGAAGGCCCCGAGGGCGCCGACCCTTGCTCCTGGTGAAGGGTGCAGTCTGTCACCTCCAGGACACAGACAGACAATACTGCTCAACAGAACTCTGAAAAACCCGAGAGCCACCACAAGCTCAAGGGCTTCCCCCGACCCAGAGGCTCTGCTGATGAGACTGGTGGGGACACAGATGCATGGCTGGTGAGAAGACCCACATGCTGTGACAGCACGCACTCACATTGGGAGAACCTGCTAACCCAGGAGCCACGGCTCTCCTAACCCCAGGCAGCAGCATGGAGGCCCTCAACAGAGTTTCAAATTCCACATTGCAACTAACCAAGAAGGTACTGCCCCCCAGGGAGGCTACACCAGCCCTCACAGCTGTCTACACCAGCACACCACCACACGCCGGCCCTCACAGCCCATCTACACCAGCACACTGAGGGTACATGGAAGCAGCTAGGAGCATCCTGATCTTTTCCAATGAATTGGAAACAAGAGATTCACAAAACCACAGGACAATGACAATCTGCCTACTAACCGTTAGTGCAGAGGATAAGGCGGGACCCACACCACTGAGGAGCAGAGGTCTGCTAAAACAGACAGCTGTCATTCACTCAACAAACACCCAAGCAGCACCTGCTAGGCCTGAAACAAGGCCCTGGGGAGAGCAATCAGAAATGTGGCATCAGGGCTCATCTCAGGGGAGCTGGGAGGCAAGGGCAGGCAGCGGGGCCTCAGGGCGAACTAGGAGGAGGCCGGAGGGGAGAAGCTGGGTAACAGCTCTAGGTGGCCAGGGGGGTCTCAAGCTAGGTGGGGGGTCCAGGGTCTGGAGCTCCTAGATGGGAGGGAAGGAGGGGAACTCGGCAGGTAGCCCAGAAAGGGCTCGGCTGCTCACAGCAAGAAGGAGTTTCAGCCCATCAAGAGAGGAGGGCAGTGGCAGCAAGTGGACAGAATGTGGGTAGACATGCCCTGTCCAGGCAGAGATGCTGGAAGGAGCGTGAGCAGGAGTTGGAGGATCAGCTCAAGGAGCCCCATGAGGCCGGAGAGGAGGAGACTCCCAAATGAGGCTCCCTTTGTATCAAGACTGAAACCGGGCCTGGGCCCAGAGCTGCAGGGAGCAGGTGGCACCTGACGGGCCTCCCACCCCTGAGCTGGGGCAGCCAAGGATGGCCAGGAAGGCCGGGCAGCCGGGCATTTTCAGCTCTGGGAAGCAGGGTCCACAGGAGTCGCAGCTGCTGTGTGGACACTGTCCGCAGGCGCAGTCTGCTCCCACGTCCTTGAGAAGCCAGCGGAAAGCACATGTGGCCAAATTCAAGAGAACTCTGCAGTAAAATTAAAGAGTCCATGAAACAGAGATGGCTCCCAAGATGGGAGAACATGTTTATATACCACCCATTTCATGAGGTGTGATGCCCAGAATATGTAAAGAAAACAGAAACAGGGCCCAACAAAATAAAGTGGTTAAATTCCTTGCCTTGAACACGCCAGGATCCCATTTGGCACTGGTTCTAATCTTGGTGGCCCGACTTCCCATCCAGCTCCCTCTCTGTAGCCTGGGAAAGCAGCTGAGGATGACCCAAAGCCTTGGGAACCTGCACCTGTGTGGGAGACCTGGAAGAGCTCCTGGTACCCTGGCTTCAGATTGGCATAGCTCCAGCCATTGCAGCCGCTTGGGGAGTGAACCATCAGATGGAAGATCTTCCTCTCTGTCTCTCCTCCTCTCTGTATATCTGCCTTTCCAATAAAAATAAATAAATCTTTATATATACATATATAAAAAGTCTGCAACTGAAGTAAAAAACAACTACCCTGTGACCCAACAACCTCACCCTGACCGTATGCATGTGTCCCACAGAACTGAAAAGGGGCTCAGTAGAAGTGTGCACACTCCCCTTTAGTCCAGCACTGCTCACCACAGCCGAGTCGGAGGAGGTAACTGGACCATCCACCAGGAGAGGAATGAAAAACAACACAGCACATGCACACACACAGGCTGATGGAGCACTCTTCACTCATGAGAAAAAGCCAAGCCTGGGCACAAGCCTTGGGGTGACTCACAGACAGGTGGCGTAGAGAGCGGGGAGAGTGCAGAAAAACAGTGAGTAGGGTGGCCAGGCCTGGAGGGAGGGAGAGGAGGACTGCTCGGGGGACGGGGGTTCAGCTGAACCCACAACATGAGGCCAACATGTGCCATGCTCATGTACAGCACCACACACCTCAACATGGCAGGGAAGTTAAATTTTACATCACCTAGTTTTTGGCCACTAGTTACAAAGCCAGCAGTATAGGGGTGTGTGTGTGTGTGTGTGTGTGTGTGTGTGTGTGTGTGTGTGTGTGTGTGTGTGTGTGTGTGTGTGTGTGTGTGTGTGTGTGTGTGTGTGTGTGTGTGTGTGTGTGTGTGTGTGTGTGTGTGTGTGTGTGTGTGTGTGTGTGTGTGTGTGTGTGTGTGTGTGTGTGTGTGTGTCTGTGTGTGTGTGTGTGTGTGTGTGTGTGTGTGTGTGTCTGTGTGTGTGTGTGTGTGTGTGTGTGTGTGTCTGTGTGTCTGTGTGTCTGTGTGTCTGTCAGTCAGGGTGTGCACAGGTACAGAGGGGTGTGTGTGTGTGTGTGTGTGTGTCAGTCAGGGTGTGCACAGGTACAGAGGGGTGTGTGTGTGTGTGTGTGTGTCAGTCAGGGTGTGCACAGGTACAGAGGGGTGAGTGTGTAGGGAGAAGGTCAGGCAGAGGGGATGTATGTGTGTGCCAGGCTGGGCCTGGGGATGAGCTCACCAGGCCCAAGGAATCCTGTCACTCCAGCCGGGCTGGCTCTTCCAGGGGGCAAAGAGGTGGCCACTCCCACAGGGAAGATGGCTGGGCTCTGGGGAGTGGTGCCCTGGAGAAGGGGAGCATGTGGGTGCATGTGGGGGGAGCCAGGCCAAGTGGACGAAGTATGCATCCACGGCCTCATGCTGCAGCAAGCCCCGGAGCCCCAGGTCACAGCACAGGATGAGACGAGGGGCCGGCCGGGCTCTCCAACTCCTCAGCACTATAAACTACCTCCTGGGTCTGACCTTCCACCCAACTTCTGACTGAAAGAGCAAGACAGGAAGGAAGGGTCTGGAATTGTCACAAACCGCATCGTGGATCACAGTGGGATCACAGAGAGGATAGAAGAGTACTTCACAGCTCACTCCAGAGCTGCCCCCACACCCTGCCACGGGCGGACCCACGGCCACACTCACCGCGATGCACTGGCGCATGATGCAGCTCTGCTTCATCCGCCCGGGGCCCCCGAACTTCTTCATGTCCTTGCAGAAGTGGCACTCTCCACACTCGGTCCGCAGGCAGGCCTCGCACTTGCGGCATCGCGTCCGGCGCCGGCGGGCTCCTGCAGTCGTCCGGTTGGCGGCCAACTTCACTGCCGAGGCCGGGCCCAGCTTGCCTTTGGGCCGACCCACTGCCCGGTTCTGCAGGAGAAGACAGGGCTGGTGAGGAAGTAGCTGTGGGATGGTCAGACCAGGAGACAGGGTGTTACAGACTGGACTGTGTCCCCGGCAACAAGACTGTGGTCTATGAGCCAAGACATGTCGTGACCACCAGCAAATGCTGGAAGCTGGAGGAGGGCTGAGGGGTGGGGTGTCTTGCCAGCCTTTGTCCTCCCTGCAGACTCAGGGCTTCCAGACTGAGGGGTAAATATCATTTTAAGCACAACTGCATGGCAGCTCTAAGAGACTGCTCCCATGCGCACCTTGTTTCTGAGGTCCAGTCCTGCCTCTTGAGTGCCCTTCTGTTTGCAGTCAAGCCGTGCCCCCCCACCCCCCAGAACAGTCAGCTTCTGTTCCTCCTACCCGCCACACCCCCAGCCCCTGGCTGTATGTCCTGCAGCGCAGGTTCGCACACAGCTTCCTCCTGGGCATCCTCCCTGCCCTGTCACGGCCTACAACTGCCAGCGCCTACTTCACACCGTCTGTCCCTGGACCCGGCACAGGAGGGCACCGCCGCAGATCCACTGCTGTATTCTTCCCAGATGGCCTCCTGGCTCACAGGGTGTGCTCAGCTTGCCAAAGCCACCCCAGCCCCCGCAACAGCTAATTCCCAACAGCCCCCCTAAAAGGGCCACAGGGCTTCTTTCCCTGGGGCTCTGGGGAGAACAGACACACTGGGTGGGCAGGAAGCAACCCAGTGAGCAGAACGTTCTGGCTCTAGGGCCTGGTTGCCAGCCAAGATGACAGAGCTCCTAGGCCCGCTACTGGAGAACACTGTCCCCTGCCTGGTTTGGCTGAGGTGGGAGGACCAGGACAGTTTGAAGCATCTTTCAGAAGAGCATGGCAAGTCTGTAGAAACGAGCAGCCAGCAACGGCCCCCCAGCCCAGGTCACCCTGAGATATGATCTGCCTGATGCTTCAAGGCCAAACACCCTTCAGTTGGTGCATGATGTCCTGTTGTCATTTGTCACACCCAGATTCCCAAATAAAACCCACTCTCTGACTAACTTGAGGACCTGGAAGAACCAATACTGAGACCATCACAGTCGAGAGGGGTCCACCTCTCCTCCAGCACACAAAACTCAAGTGACACCCCCAAAACCTCCAGCCACATCAGGCAGAAAAGTGGTACACCACTTCTGCAGGACTGCCTCTGAGTGTCCCCAACAGGGCAGGGAGGGACAGGCCACACCCCTCTGGTAGCTAGCCACCTCTAAGCTGATGCTTCTCAAGACGTCCTGAAGAACCTTGGGAAGAACCACTCCTTTAAAACCTTCAAAAGCCAAGGTCAGCTGACCTGGGGAGCCGCCTCGGGGACATCCTGGCCCTCATCACGAGGGAGGGTCAGGCAGGACAGGGGCTTAGGACAAGCCAGTCTCCTACCTGTTGTTCACAGGGACATCTGGGTGGTCCCGAGTCACACCCAGGAACAGTTGCATGCGATCACACCATTAGAAGGATGCAGCAGCCCAGGTCAGGTGTGGCTGCAGGCCAGGACACACAACGAGATCATTTTCTAGAACTTTCTCGGTGGAGGATGCTGCCTATGTAAGGGACTGTGGCTCTGGAAACCACTTAGCACCAGCAAAACTGCCGAGAAAGCAGCAGAGACGAGAAGGACAACAGGGGAAACAGTGGCAGGGGCCAGGCTCATCACTTCAGGTTTGTTGCCTCATTCTCCCCAAGAGAAACCCTTCTCAGACAAGGAAACTAAAGCTAGAAGTTATAGTGCCCTGCCCAAGGTCAGACTCTGGAAACATGCCCTGCACCTACGTACCGGGTAGAGTGGATGGATACACAAGCACAGGAGGGCATGAGGCTCGCTGCAGCTGCCAAAAATGCCACAGCCCACGTGAACAGCACCAGCAAAGGGAGCCGGGAGACCCCCGGAAGGCTTCCTCCTCCCCCATAAACCTGTGTGTCCTGAGACGACTCACTCCTCAAACTCCCAGGCAGGCTGAGAGTCTCGAGCAGGTGCAGGGTTCACCTGTAGGGCACCCCTGGAGGAGGCAGAGCTCAAACTCAGCCCCTGGGAACTCAAGATTCAAAAAGACCAACCTGTGGGGTGAACGGCTGAAGAGACGCCTGGAGTTGGAAGGAGCGTCAGGAGCCAAGCCCACCGGGTACCACTGACCTTCCTGGCTGAGGACCGAGTCGGAGGAATTACACGAGTTGGCCCAAATCACGAAGCTCCTCTGCCACCATGAAGCCAGCGCACCTTCTCAGTGGGAGCAGCGCTTTTCCACTGACCTACGGTGAACAAACCCACTGGCACCCTGATGGCAGCGGAGCTGTCCTGGAAGATGACAGACAAGTGGTGACATGTGGAAAGGAGGCTGTAAGAAGCCACAGTCGCTGAAGGCCTCAGTGCTCGCCTGCCCCTTCAGCCAGAATGGCTGCTGTGGTCATCGGCTGCTCAGCAGGGGGAAGTGAGGCACTTGCTGGGGCAGCAGCCACTTAGGACCACAGGAAAATCCACTGGTAATGAAGACCTCAGAGGGTTGAGGCAAAAAAAAAAAAAAAAGTCCCACCAGGACCCCGCAGAACCAGCCAGGAAACCCCGTGACAGCAGAATCGCAGAATCACAGAGAACGTTGGCCGACCAGGAGCAACACGGCTGACAGGGAAGGCCGATTAGCCCAGGCCTTTCAACGTGCCATGAAGCTCTGCCCCAGGCTCACCCAAGTGCCACCTGAAGCTACAAACACAGGTTCTAGATTCTACCCAATCCCACCCCTGCCTGCAGGAAAGGGGCTGACACATCCTCCAACAGTGGTTTGGAAGCCAACAGCTCCAACCCCAAGGCCACCTGTAGATTCTATCAGCCCGGAGCCACGCGCTCAGCTCCTTGCACGAAAGGAGACTGAACTCTGGGGCACACGCCCACCCACTGAGGGAGCCCCTACCTCTTATCTACCAAAGCACCAAGCATCTCTCAGACAACAAATGCTGTCACCGTCCCTCAGACATCCTATCCAAAGTGACTTATCTATCAGCTGATACACCCCCCCTCCCCCGCCACAGAAAATCCATGGGTGCAACCTCCTCAATCCATCGTCTTGACAATACTGGGATTATAACAAAATGAATGGGACTCTATAGATGATGCAGCTAGGCCCTCTGCAGATGCCACGCCACCGTGGCCAAAATCTCAACTGGCTCTTTTGCAGAAATCACCAGCTGATGGTGAGCGACTCACAGCCCCCTATTCCAAAACTTACTAAAAGCTATAGCAGAGAAGACAGTGTGGTCAAATGTGGACATCACTGGACTAGAAGAGTTCAGAAATGAGCTCCTGTTTATGACCAACTCATCCTTTTTTTTTTAAAGGATCTTTTTTTTTAAAAAAAAGATTTATTTATTTTTATCACAAAGTCAGATATACAGAGAGGAGGAGAGACAGAGAGAAAGATCCTCCGTCCGATGACGCACTCCCCAAGTGAGCACAATGGCTGGTGCTGCACCAATCCGAAGCCTGGAGCCAGTAACCTCCTCCAAGGTGCAGGGTCCCAAGGCTTTGGGCCGTCCTCGACTGCTTTCCCAGGCCACAAGCAGGGAGCTGGACAGGAAGTGGAGCTGCCGGGACCAGAACCGGCGCCCACATGGGATCCCGGGCACGTCCAAGGCAAGGACTTTAGCCGCTAGGCCACGCCGCTGGGCCCACCAACTTGTTCTTAGTAAGAATGCCAAGACAGGGCCATTAGGAATGCGCTCCAACACACAACACTGACACAGACGCCCCCAGTCAAGGGAATGGAGACAGAGCCCACTGCCTCACACCATTATATCCACACCCATAAAACTACAAAACACTGAGGGAAAAACAAAACAAACAAAAACAAAAACCCACAGGTGTGAATGCTCACAAATCTGGATTGGGCCAAGGTTTCTTTCTCAAATATAAAACCAAAAGATCAATTAGGCTTCCATCAAATTGAAAACATTTTGTGCTTCAAAGGCACTCTGAGATGGAAAAAGGTCCACAGAATGGAGAGAGAACCTGCGAGGTCACCTTATGCCAGGAGTGGCCAGAATCCAGCATCTATAAAGAATTTCAACAGTTCAACAACAGAAAGACAAGTGCGCCTGCTTAAAAAAATAGGCAAAACACATAAATACCCCCCTAAAGACACACAAACGGCTAAGAAACACACCCAACACAAGCCAAAACCCTTAACATCACAGCCATTCATCAGCCCCCTCATTCACACATTCTCCTACCCACCCTCGGTGTTTCCTGCTGGAATTATGCAGATGCAATGCGATGAGTAAGCCGTGCTCTTTACTCTCGAAGACACTGCAGGCTGGGGATGAGGACGCAGCGCCATAGGCTGGCACTCAGGCTTGTCAATACTGATACCCATAACGTCCGAGGTGGGAATCCCTGTCAATGTGGAAACTGAGGCACAGCACAGCTCCCATCACCCACTCTTCATCCCGCTGCCAACTCTGGAAAATCACAGACCAGGCAAGGGGCCCAGAGGTGTTGACCCCAGGAAGTGTTGAGCAAGGTAGCCATAATGGAGGCAAAGGACACTACAGACCAGGGGTCATGGGTGGGGTTAGGAGGCAGGTATGCTAGGTAGAAAGCAGAGTAAGAGAGATATGGAACTCCACGACATGTTCAAGGAACCAGCTCTGGAGCAGGTAGCACGGCTTGGCCCTGCAGAGCTAAAGGACTTCCAGGGAGGACACGAGTGGGAGATGAGCTAGACAATCCAGGTAGGAGAAGATGCAGCAAAGGGTAGGAGAGGATCCTGGGCAGCGCTGGAGCCACACGGTGCCACAGAGGGGCTGAGTAACACGGGCAAGAGAAGGAGGCACAATAAAAACACTGACTCTGCTGTATGGGATGCAGGAGCCCAGCAAGTAAACGGGAACAGAGCCGAGGCACACGAGTGGGAATCAACATCACAAAGGTGCAAGAGCTAGTGACGCCCCAAAGGTTTCGGGTGCGGGGCTGGGCCCAGCGATCAGAGCCT